CTATGCATTTTCCAAATGCTTGGCCATCCCTAATTATCTTCTTTCCATAAATTGCCTTAAACCACAAACACATTTGGTTTAAACTTTGGGGTTAATTGAAATTAGTCCTTATTTTCCACAAACAAGGGTGCAGACATTTTGATGTGGAAAGATCACAGAGTTAATGGAAGCAGTCTGTTTCCTTGTTCCACACACATGACTCTAAATGGAGGATGAGCGAGACTTACCACAGTTTTCATTTGTTGGGTGTACTTGAAACCCAGAGCCAGTTTACAAGTATGCGAAGTTCATCTTCTTTTCATTTCTCTATTTTAATACATGTATTTTAGGGAAAATATAACTTGTGTGTTACTGATTTGTTTACAGTTAACTCATAAAACATTTTATAAGTCATTAGAACTCCAAAAATATTTTCTGGGGGTGCCCCCCATTACAATCAGGAAGTCATATTTTACAAGGAGTAAAGGGATTTGAACTTCAGAAGGATGAAATCTCAAAAAGCACAAATAAGTTATAAAGCATATTTTCCCATCTATCATCCAATTAGAGATATAATGGAAGCTCTGAATGGAAGTCAAGGGGAGAATCAGCTAATTAGTTTCATGAATCTGTAAAGTTCATTGTGAATACAGTTTAAAGCATATTAGATACTACTATTGCTCCCACAAGGTGACTTTGATGAATCTGAGAACTGCAGTAGGGAAAAGAATTACTACTCAAGTAGAATGAAATCAACCACAGTGCTGACTGACCCTGTATTACCTATACAACAGTAACCACCACCACCATATGTTTCCTATATAATTATCTGTGTAGACACAGTCCTACACTGGGGTGAGGTAGGATGGGAGTTGGAGGAGGGGTGGAGGGTGAGGTAGAGATCTGAAGACTGACCATAATGTTACTGATAGAACTAAATTGGGGATTTCTCTCTGCTAAGAACTTGTGGATTTTATCAATTATATACTTTGCTTTCTGTTTCTATTACTTCTGTACAATTTTCTTCCATGATTTCCCAAAGTATAGTATTTAGGATTTTTATTTAGTTGAGTTTTCTGTAAGATTTATGATTTTCAGATTGTCTCTGAATAATTTGGTCTTCAAATTCAATAGCTTTGGCTTGTTGAAATCTCATGTTTTCTTTTTATCCTTATATCTTTCAAATTCATTCTGTTAATTTTTTTCTATCTCAATCTCTTTGACTGAGACTGCTATTCTTTTAATAGAATTTACTGTTCTGAAGAGATTGTCATAATTTAAAATTTTCTCCTTACTTGTTTGTCTTTTTTATTTCTTCATCAAGAATTCTAATTTCTATCTTAATTTGCTCCATTTTTCTATGAAATATCTTTTATTGGTTTTCTGAACCATTCAGGATTTTTTTTCATTGTTCAGTAATCATTCAGTGGGCTTCATAGTAGTTGTTATGATGCATTCCCTTTCATTAGTAGTTTCAAGCAGATTATTTTATTATTTAGTGTTTATTACTTACAGTGTCTCCCTTTCTTGGCTCCATAATATAATAAGAATATACTATAGTAAATAGTGTATATGTGTATATATATATACACATATGTGTATATATATATATATATATACACATACATAATCTTTAGTATAATAAATAGAATCTATGTAAAACCAAACACTAGACTAATCTGTAATGGACAAATACTATAGGCTTTTCTAATAAGATCAAGAGCTAAGCAAGGATTTTTGTTGTCATCACTATTATTTAATATAATCCTGGAAATGCTAGCTATTACTATAAGATGAGGGGGAAAAAATTAAGGGAATAAACAAGGAGGAAACAAAATTGTGACTTTTGGCAGATGACAGTTATCAAACACACAGCCCCCAGGCCGCATTATGGCCCTCAACACACCAAATAAAGCCTGAATCAGATTAAAATATAATTGTGAAACATTTAACACAGTAAATAAAAAAACAATAGGATACAGATAATGTTATTATATAGTTTTCTAAGTCAATGTGAGGCCCACAGGAATCCTTGTATATAGTTTAGTGACCACCATTTCTGTTTGAACTTGACATCACTGACTTAAAGGACACAAGAAAAGTCAAACAAAAATTAATTTCAAAATTAATTATTTGAACAAGCCAACAAGCATTTCTTGTTTTCTATGTATTACATACTATAATCAGCACTGAAGATGTAAAGGAACATAATAACCACCCCTACACTCAAGGAGCCCACATCCAAATGTTGGAAACATCATGTAAGAGCTAGGTATTGTGGTGGGTAAAATCTGAAATACTGAGGAAACAAATATTTGAGCTTCTGAGCATTATTAATTTATTTGGCAATGCATGCTAATTGCATAACAAATCAGGACCAGACCTCCTCAGCTTGGTACTGGACCCCAAATAAAAGGAGAGATAAATGTTTATGCACTAAAAGATAACAATAACATAATACAGAATGGATAATTAGGTAACCAGATTTCTAATTGGAGGAAAGATTAGGAGCTATCTGAGTTGGGAGTGGGGAGAATAGACAGGTGTAACTCCCTGAAATCAGGGGGGAAATGTGTTTTACTCCCACAAACTCCTGTATTCAATCAAAGGAACAAAGAAACAATAACTAATTGACTTGTACAGAGCCAATTTCCAGATAAGACATATGAATTGTTTGAGTTGTATAATTGTGAGAAAACTCCTTACATCAATCTCAGATCTGACTGGGTTTCTAGTTGTTATGACCTAGGTCCTTAGGTAAGGGTCTTTAAGCAACAGGTAGAAGTGGTCCAACTTTCTGGCTGCACAGGGCTAGGTTCAAACAGCATAAGAAAGTTTTCTCACAATTCCTATAATTAAAGTTTTCCCACAAGACAGAAATTGTATTTGACCCATAATTGAATAGAAAGAGAACTGAGCTAGATTCAGTATTGAGTCACAAGATGGAGTCGGTGTGGTTCACTCAATTCCCACAATTCTCTCAGTACGTGCATGATATATACACAGAGGATAAAAGATAGTGTCAGGGGGAAGAAAAAAATGGTAGGTGGGCCTCCTATTAAAAAAACAGGGATTTGAACTGAGTCTTAAGGGAAGTCAGAGAAACCAACAACCAAGGACAAAGGGAATATTCCAGGCCTGGGGAATAGCCAGCGCAAAGTCCCAGAGAAGGGAAATGGGGTGTCATGCTTAAGGAGGAACAATGAGTAGGCCAGTTAAACTGAATAGTAGAGTAAATGGAGGGAAGTGGAAACCTACAAAGGTAGGACAGATCCAAGTGATGAAGAAGCCAGGTGCTGCAATAGATAGAATATTAATTGTGTAGTCATTGCTTTTGTTTACCTTAGTTTCCTCATTCATAAAATGATGGTAAAAATAGCACCAGCCTTTCAGAGTTGTTATGTGGGTAAAATGAGACAATATTTGTAAAGTGCTTTGCAAACCTCAATACACTTTATAAATGTTAGCTGAGATGATGATGACGACAATGATGATGATGATGAACAGAGGACTTTATATTTGGTTCTGGAGTCATGGAGTCACTGTCATTTAGTGAGTTGGTGGTGACATGGATTGAACTATGCTTTATATATATTTTATAAAGTGGCTTAGGTGACTGAGAAGAGGATGGTTTGGAGTGGGGAAAGATGTGAGACAAGCAAACTAACTAGAAAGCTATTGTAATAGTCCATACAAGAAGTAATAAAGGTCTGAACTAGGGTTGTGGTTGTGTGTTTAAAGAGACATACACCCCTTGGTTTGCATCTTTAGAGCATCATCTCCCATCTTCTCTAGCAAATCAAACCCATCACCATCCATCACCATCCCCACTCTTCTTCATCTTCAATATCTCCTAATCCAATAGCTTCTTTACTGCTACCAAAATTCTAAAATCTCCCCCAAAATCAAAAAAACTTTGCTTGATTCTACCGCTCACGAGCTATTATCTGATGGCTCTTCTCTCCTTACCAGGTAAATTCTTTAAGAAAGCCAACTGCAATTGGTGCTTTCACTTCCTCTTCCATCACTATTCTAAACCTTCTACAATCTGATTTCCACCTTTATCATTCAACTGAAAATTCTCTCTCGAGAGTTACCATTGGCCTTTTATTTGCCAAATCTCATGATTATTTTTCTAAATTCTTATCCTTCTTGACCTCTCTTCAGCGTTTGAAACTGTTGATCAATTTCTCTTCCTGTGTACCCTCTACTCTACAGGTTTTTATAACTATCCTTTCTATCTGTCTGTCTGCTTCTTCTCAAAAAGAACCTTTGCTGGATCTTCACAGTGTTACAGCCAGCAGCCATGGCTATTCTGCAAGGCCCTGACCTAGGCCTTCTTCTCTTGTCATTTGTTGATGATAGAATGTCATTTGTTGATCTCATTAGCTCAACTATTATTTTTATGCTGATAATTTCCAGATCTCTGTGTGTATACACATATAAACATACACATCCACATATATATCCACATTCTATACATATACACATACACAGTCCTAATTTCTCTCCTAACTATAGGTCTGTCTTCTGGATATCTCAAGCCAAATATCCCATAGACACCTCAAACCCAACATGTATAAAACAGAACTCATAATCTCTCCCCGCAAACCCCTCACTCTTCCCAATTTTCTCCTTCTCTACATCAGAACCCTTTTCATTGAAAGTCAAATTAAATAGCATCTATTGAAGAAGTTGCACTTTGGAGTAGAGATTGTGAGAAATCAATGATTGTTTTTGGGTTATTCTAAATCATTCACATGGGATCTGACTATGATGGCACTTGAATTATCTGGTTTTGTTGGGGGGGGCGGTGTAACAAAGTGTAATCCTCTTCCGGTACAAAAGTACATGCTGGAATTTTGTACTAATGGGGCCCAATTAATTACTTGGGGGGAATGTAACTTTTAACTGAGGTTCTAGTCACCCTTATGGGACAATGTCCTCAACTGTCTCAACACCATCTCACCTCTCTCTCTCTCTCTCTCTCTCTCTCTCTCTCTCTCTCTCTCTCTTCTCAGATCACATTTTGACATTATCCACAAAAAAGTCAGGTGAGTAGTCTTCTGATTTCTCTACAAAACATTCATAGTTAAAAGACCATTGATTAAAATGATTTAATCAGGATATTATCACATATTTATGTAGAACTTTAATGTTACAAAGTAGTTTGTGTATGTCACTTGATTGTCATATCAAATCTGGAAGATAGCATAAATCCTACAGAACTACAGAGTTACAAAGGGTGTCAGAGGTCATCTAATCCACCTACAGTTGAAATGAAATCCCTTCTACTGGTCTTATGAACCACTTTAGAATTTCTTTCAGTTTTGGAAAGTCATTTGACTATAAGAAATACCCACATCATATGATCATTTAGCCACTGCTTGAAGACCTCCAAGTTAGGGGGAATCTACTGCCTCCTGAGATATAAGATAATGCACAATCTAAATATTTTCCTACATCAAGCTTAAACATGTTTCTTCTGAGGGTGGGGAGCCTGCAGCCTCAAAGCCACATGTGGACCTCCAGGTCCTCAAGTGAGCCCCTTTGACTGAATTGGGGATTTGCTCTGTGAAGTTTGGATTCAGTCAAAGGGCCACACTTGAGGACCTGGAGGGCCACATGTGGCCTGGAGGCTGCTGGTTCCCCACCCCTGTCAATACTCTTAGTTCTGCCTTCTGAGGCCAAACAGAATAAGTTTAAGTAATACTGGCATTATTATTATATTGACTCCAATTATGACAAATTAATAACTCTTTGTCTTTATTTCTGTAAGAAGTGCTTTGTAATCATATCCATATAATTCCTATGTGTGTCTTGATAGGTAATTTCCATAAATTTCATATATTTTATAATTATTTTGACTGGAATTTCTCTTTCTTTATCTCTCTTCTTGATTTTATTGGTAATATAAGAAAGGTGAATGATTTAAATGGATTTACTTTAAATACTGTTATGTTTTTAAAGGTGTTAATTTTTTTCAATTAGTTTTAATTCACTCTATGTTTCTCTAAGTAGACCATAATACCTTCTGCAGAAAATGATAATTTTATTGGCTCTTTGCCTATACTTATACTCTCAATTTATTTTTCTTCTTTTATTGCTACCGCTAGTACTTTTAGAACTATATCAAATAATGGTGGTGATGATGGAAGATGGGAGGGGAAAGGAATAGCATTTATATAGTACCTACTATGTGCCAGACACTCTGTTATTTTATTTTATGCAATGACACCCATGCTTTATTCCTAATCTTATTAGAATAAGATCTCTAATGTTTCTCCATTATAGATATTGTTGACTCTTGGTTTTCTATATATGCTATTTGCCATATTGAAGAATGCTCCAATTATTCCTTGCTTTATAATATTTTTAACAAAGGGGTGTTACATTTTGTCAAAAGTTTTTTTTATGAATCTATTAGTTTAACCATGTGATTTTTATTGTTTTCATTAATATAGACTTTTATGTCTCTAGTTTTCCTAACATTGAATCAGCATGATACCTTTTCCATATGTTAGCATAGCCTTCTTACTGATATTTCTTTCAATAATTTTTCAGCAATACTTTTAGGGATAGTGGTTCATAGTTTTCTTTCTCTATTTTATCTCTTTCTGATTTAGCAATCAAGATTATATGTGCTTCATAAAATGAGTTTCATATTAACCCTTCTTTTCTTATCTTCCCAAATGGTACTAGAAATAATTGTTTTTTGAATGTTTGATAGATCTCACATGTAAATCTCTCAGGTCTTGGGAATATTTTTTCCCTTTGGAGATCTTTTATGGCTTTATCAATTTCTTTTTCTGAGATTAGCTTATTTAAAATATCTATTTCATCTTCTGTTAACCCAAGCATTTTGTGTTTTTACAAATATTCATCCATTTCATTTATCAATTTTGTTTGCATTTAATTGTGTGAAATAATTTGTAATTATTTTTTTATTTCCTCTTCATTTCCTATGAATTCTCATTTTTCATTTTTTTTTTTTTTTTGAAATTGACAATTTGTTCAGAAACATAAAAAGATATGTAGCCAAAGTGTTTAGAGACACAAATATGTCACTATAGACTGCTTTAGCTACATCTCAAAAGTTTAGGTATATTTTTATAATGATTCATTATTGTAGTTTTATGTAACCAATATAGTTTTATATGATCAAGTTATTAATTATTTTTATCATTTTTTCTTCAATCCATCAATTTTTAGGATTGTTATTTGATCTCCATGTATCTTTAAATCCTTTCTCCCAGTGCACTTTACTGATTATAATTTTTATTTCTTTGTGGTTAGTAAAGTATGTGTTTAATATTTCTGCTTTTATTTACAAGATTTTAATGAATAACACATGACAAATTTGTAAAGGTGCCATATACATCTGCTAAAAGAAAAAAAAAGGGGGTGAAGGAGAAGGAATCTAATAAATACTAGTAACATACCATTTAAGCAATCCATTTCTATTCCATTGGCCCTCTTCTCCTCCCCTATCAAAGACTCAATTATTTCCTTTATTTCCTTTTAATTCCTCCTTTAGTATTCACCCTTCCCTTCCCAACTCTAACTCCTTAATTTCTTCTCTACCCTCTCTTTGTCCCCACCTGTTTCTCCACTAAGTTTAACAAATCTTACTACCATACTGTTTGCTACACCCAACTCTTCATGTGTATATGTGTGTTGAAACATTTTTTGTCCAGTCAAGATAATGGCAAAGGTCATGTGATGCACACTCCTCTCACCTCTTCCTCCATGTCTGAATATTCTTCTCATGCAATCCAATTATGAAAAATAATAAGCTTCCCCCTTCTTCCTCATTTCTTCCCTAACTTATACCTACATTTTCTTTCCCCTCAACACCATCAAAAGAGAAAAAAAAATCCTCAAGTCCTGTATTTGTTTCATGTGACTCCCTCCATGACACTTGAAAACATCAAGGGGAAGAAAAACAATTGTTTCTTGTCCTATTAAAATCAAAGCACTTCATTATCATTCACCCCCTTCTAATTGCTAAAAATACTTTTACCTTTCCAGGTTTTTCTTGACTCTTTTGTTTGCATTTCAAAGTTTCTACTCAGCTTTGATTTTTAATCAGGAATACTTGAAAGTTCTATATTCCATTAAAGGTCCATTTTTGGTGGTATTATACTCTCTTTCATGGAAAATTGTTTTAAATTATAATTCTTTATATTTTGCCTTTTAGAATATTATAGCCTAAGATTTCTTTTCTTTAGAGTACTAGCTGTGAAGTCTTGTGCAATACTTACTGTGGCTCCTTGGTACTTGAACTCTTTCATTCTTGCAATTTTTCAATTTAAGGTTTCTTCCAGAAGATTATTGGTAGCTTATTTTTATTTTCACTTTGTCCTCCAATTCTAATAGATCTGAGCGGCTTTCATTTATGATTTCTGGAACTATGGTGTCCAGATTTATTGGGTGGTCTTCATTTTCAGGTTATCTGATAATTCTTAAATTTTCTCTCCTCTACCTGTTTTCCAAGTCAGTTGTGTTTTTTTATAGTAAATATCTTACATTTTATTCTGCTCTTTTAAATTTTATGCTTATATTCTAGTATTTCTTGATGTCTCATGGAGTCATTTAGTTCTGTTTGATCCATTTCTAATTATCAGAAAGAATTGGATAAGGATTTCACACATTTTTTTTAAATTATTTATTCTTTCTAATCCTTTTTAACTTTCAGAGCTCTTGTTTAATTTTAGATATTTTGTTTCATTTAATCAGGAATTCTTATAAACCTTGCAAGTCATAGAGACCATACCCTCCTCTTACACACACACACACACACACACACACACACACTTTTCCTTAACAGAGAAGACAAAGAATTAAGTAATTCTTTCTTCTCTTTATTGTCTACTTTAGTTTTATGACCAACAAAGCAAAATAAATAAATGAATGAGAAAACCATTTTTGTTTTCCTTATTATCTGTTTCCAGTTTGGGTTCATTCTAAGCTTCACTTTTCCTGATGTTATTCTTACAGTATTGTGTAGTATTGGGCCACATTTTGCATTCATTATTTGGTTGTGTATTTTATAAATGTTCACTTAAAATCTAAATTCATTGATGATCCAGCATCATTTTTAACTGGCAGGACAGGAGAACCCACATAGCTGAAGTAGGTAAGTAAGGCATCTTGAAGGAGAGAGAGGAGGCAGTATGAGCTAGGAAAGTCAAACTGCTACTACCACCTCAACCATCATCTCCCCTCAGATCCCAGTGAAGATAACTCAACAATCTGCACCCAATCTGGAAATAGCAGTGCCCCACCCCAACCACTAGCCCAACCTTGTTTCCAGAAGCCATCATCTAGGTGAAACATCCTATGGGAAGGGGACCAATATCTACTACCACCAATACCAACTTCCAACTAACTGCCACTAACCAGCAAGTAAGCCCAAGCTTCCATACAAAAGTTAGGGGAACCCATCCCAGACCATTAGTTCTGTTTCCAGACTGTTCCATGTAGCCATTGTCTGAGAAGTAACCTTTGTGGAAACATGATGCCAAATCCCTAGGCTACTCAGAAGCCACAGCTACTGAAGAACTAGAAAAGAAAGTTCTTGTTTCCAAAGTCCTTTGGAATGGTCAGGTGTATCAACGGATGTGGTTTTGTCAATGGAAATGACATTAAAGAAAATGTTTTTATCATCAGCACCACTGCTGCTAAGGACTGCTAAGGACTGCTAAGGACCACTTGACCTTTCCATCTGGCTTACAGCTGAAAACTTCTATATGTATTGTTTCCCTCTCTAGAAAGTGAACAGAGACTTGAGAGCAAGGATTGAATCACTTTTCTATTTGTATTTCCAATAATTTGCACATAGTAAATGCTTAAGAAGGGTTTTTTCATTCATTCATTCATTCATTCATTCATTCATTCATTCTCCATCTTTCTCTATATAGGTCTCCTTATGCTATTCTCCCTTTTTTTCCTCATTGCGATTGTTTCTATTTCAGGCCTCAGCATTCATTCCCAGAAACTTCCCATCTCTCTTGAGCCAATTTGTCCTCTAGAATTTTAAAGCATAAAATCT